ATTGGCTTTTCTCCCTGAACAGTTTGTCCGAGACATTTATTCAGGGCAATGCTGGTACATCAACCAGAGGGTACGAGGAGCCTGAAACCATAGGAGACCGGGGCGGGGGGCGGTTCCGTGCAGGAAACGTGTTTCCCCAGAGCTTCCAGATATGATGAGGCCTGAAGGACACCCACGGGATTTGGTAGGTACTAGGCCACTTCCCTTTCTCGGGTCCTCAGTGTCCTTGCAGGGACAGAGACAGGAGAGTTGCTGGAACAGAAGCCAGACTGGAAGGGGAGGAGGGAAAGCGCAGCCGTGCACCGTCCCCCGTGCTCACCCAGCTTGGAGCAGCAGCAGCTTCCTGGGCTCTCCTCTTCCCCTCCCACAGTCATCCACCCCATGAGCTGAGTCCTCGGCTCCTGTCAGATCTGCCCTTTATTCCCCCTGAGTGAAGGTCACGTGCACTGAAGGTTGCACAGAGCTTTGTAACTCGTGAGAAGCCACAGAGACCCCTCTCCTGCACAGCTCACCCAGCCTTCCATTATACCTGCAGATGCCATACCAATTCCATCCCTCCCCGCCACCTCGTACCCCCGCCTCATAAGCCTGCTTCCTCTTGTCTACGCACATCTCGTCTAGCCCTCAAATCGCTACCTACACATGTGGCAGTTCCCAGCCCCACTTGCAGCAAGAGAAATGCAAATTGGAAATAAGGAGCTACTTACTGTTTTCCACTTGTCCGTTTGGTGTCGACCAGTTAAGTTTGAGGACACTAGGCAAGGGTCTAAGCTCTCTTCTATGTTACTGGTGGCAGTGTAGACAGAGAAGTTCGAGAATACTTCTCAAAACCTAAATGGACGTACCTTTGACCTAGCAATTCCCCTCCCAGCTGGAAACGTATCCTGCAGCTGTTTTCATACGTGAGCGTAATGATGAGTGTTTGAGGATGTTCATTGCAGCAAAAGACCAGGAGGCACTTACATGTCTGTGAATATGGACTGTGTATTAGAGTATGGCCTTTCTGTACAGTGGATACCATGGAGTCATTACACGGAATTGAATCGGCTCTAACATGTTGCTACATGATCAAGATGGGGGTGCGTATGTGCAGGCCAGAGAACAGGGCCCAAAGCTGTGCCACGGCAGAGGTTCTCTCGGCCGCATCCGAGCCCACGGTGGGGGCCAGGACAGATGATCTTACGCGGAGGGAGGGGAGTGCTGCCATCATGCACCAGACAGGGCCATGACAAGACCCGAGGCAGAAGGGAGAGGAGGAGGGGTCAGGCAGGGTTCGACGCAGGGAAAGGAGGGCCAGGCGTCCAAGGTCAGTTCCTACAAAGAAGCTTCTCTGTGTGGGTACACTGTCAGGCACTGAGCACGGAAGCTGCCCGGGCCCAGCAAACCCCAAGATCACAGCCAGTGTGAGAGGCCACAGAGACTGAGGAGGCCTATAGCTCTAGGCTTCAGAAATGATGACCCAAAAGCAGTTTGTTTCACTTTGACTGTTTTTTTTGAATGCCCAGTGCTCTGGGGGCAGAGGTTCCCTGCTCCTTCTAAAAGGAGCATGCAGGGGCGCCTGGGTGGCGCAGTCGGTTAAGCGTCCGACTTCAGCCAGGTCACGATCTCGCGGTCCGTGGGTTCGAGCCCCGCGTCAGGCTCTGGGCTGATGGCTCAGAGCCTGGAGCCTGTTTCCGATTCTGTGTCTCCCTCTCTCTCTGCCCCTTCCCCGTTCATGCTCTGTCTCTCTCTGTCCCAAAAATAAATAAACGTTGAAAAAAAAATTTTTTTTAAAAAAATAAAAAAAATAAATAAATAAAAGGAGCATGCAGCTGCCAGAAAGATCTGCCTGGCCAAGTGTCCGACTCTGCATCAAGACCTTGGGCCCACTTCAGCCGAGGGCCACATGTATGAGAGCCTTCCAGCCGTCTGTGGGCAGAACCAGAAGCCCCCGTCCGCCAGGGCCCCTCAGCACCTGTCCGCAGGCAGTGGGTGATAGAGCCTGCTGCTACCTAGGGAGCCATTAGCTTCTCTTCCCATCCCTGCCATCAGGGACTCACCATGGCATCTTGACATCAGCCATGGTGGGAATATTTACACTTGTGGGTGGATCCCAGCAAATACTACAAAGCTAGGTTTGTGTTTGTGTTTTTGTTTTTGCTTAGAGGGCTGGCCGTCACACATTTACTAACACACCACTGAGCAGGACCTCTCATGTGAAGCGCCATGAGAGGAGTGAATGGTCCAACTCTATGTTAATTAGCTCTTCCTTGACCCTGGGTAAAATGCAGGTAATAGGCCCGTTGAACAAAAGGAAATTTAAGTCCTGGGGACTAAACACCTGTTTCCTAAGAGCTCTCCACGTGCTCAGCCCTTTGGTTAGTCCTTTCACAAGTGACTGCTGCACTAAATTAAGAAGAATTCTGCCAGATAGTAGGTGCTATTATTCCCATGTCACCGGTGAGAAACCAGAGGTTCTGAAGGGTGAGGTCGCTTCCTCAGGTACACAGCTTGTAAATGGGGACCAGCGAGGACTCCTGAGTCTATTTATTGAGTACCTCAACGCAGTCTCCACTCCCAGGAACCCACTGTGGTTTAATCAGACATTTCATTTTTTTTCTTCCAGATGGGAGGCCATCTGGTCCAGGTCCCTGCCTTCAGGCCAGTAAAATACTCCCATTTTAAAGGTGAAATGATCGAGTCCAGAGAGGTTAGAACGAGCCTGGGACTCTGTTCTCTACTTTCCATGCTGTATCCTTCCAACACTGGGAATTGGCCTCTGCAGGGAGCCAGTTTTCATTTTTTATTTTTTTAGAAATTTTTGTAAGTTTGTTTATTTTTGAGAGACAGAAAGAGACTGAGCACCAGCAGGGCAGGGGCAGAGAGAGAGAGAGAGAGGGAAACACAGAATCCAAGAAGCAGGCTCCAGGCTCTGAGCTGTCAGCACAGAGCCCAATATGGGGCTCAAACCCACAAACAGTGATATCATGACCTGGGCCAAAGTCAGACACCCAACCATATGAGCCACCCAGGCGCCCCTGTTTTTAAAAACCAACCTTTGGTCAAGTCTGGTATGCAGAATTGCCAGATTCTCTGAGTTGGAAGAGGAAGAGAATGGTTTAAGGCCATCCGGGAAAGAAGGGGGATTATTTGAGGGTATGGGCAGGGAATAGGTGTTTATGGGAAAACTGAAACCCATCCAACCCACTCTTGAGTTTACTCTTCAGTCATGAAATATTTTTAGAGCCCCCTCCACTGCCAGTACACAGGAGGGGCTCCAAAAATATTTGCTGACTTAAATGCTGTGACAGGTGCCTCAAGAAAAAAGTCATTTCATTGGTTTAAAACATTGCAAAAATGCGGTTCTAAATAACTTTTCCAAGGAAAATTATGTGTGTTGTATTACATGAAAAAAGGATCTTGTATTAAGACATTTGGATTTATTTGTAACAGCTCACCTATTAACAGAAACTTAAGAAGGAACCCCACCTTCTGCCCATGAGTAAAACAAAATCGTGATTGTGTTTGGGATTTAGTGCCATCCACAGAACGAAGCAAATGCAGAAACTACTCATCTTGAGAAAAGAAAATAAGGGAGAGGAGTGTAAACTTTGCTTTTTATACTTTCGCTCTTGGAACTTTGTCTAATCCATCATGTTTGGAAACCAGTTCTCCTAAATACTTTCATTTTATCTTGTTCAGTGATTTCCTGAAATGAAACATTTGTTCTTAGTTGGGAGAGCGGTTCTGTCTCCCCACTAATGAGCCCATTGCTCAATGTTGGTAGACTTTCAAATTGAGATCAACTTATGTCCATTCTGACAGAAGACAGAGGATCTTAAACAGGCCTCCAGGAACTGGCAGGGTTGGGTATCAGAGCCTCCAAGCTGCATTTACAGATTCTTGGCAATAGTAGGCCAATTAACGTAAGAACCAGTCACTCAAGAGTGAAAAGAAACTCCGTTAAATGCGTTCCACATCTCCAAAGGATTCAGGAAGAGGCTGGACAACCCAGTGTTACAGATGTGGAAACTAGGGCTTAGGAGTTTGGTAAACGCTTAAGCTCAAAGCGAGACAGGGTCTGGAAGCATGAATGCTGGCTTCTGGGCGAGGAACTGGGGATGTGGATGTGACCCTTGAGGAGCTAACAGTCCAAGAGACAGACAGAATTTGCAAGTGGATAACAGCCACACAGCATGACGAGTGCCATGGGAACGCCAAGCTGGCACAGAGGTGAGAGTGCCTGGCTCCTGTGGGGAGCTGCAGAAGGCTTGTCTGGGAAGGTGACCTTGGGACAGGGTTTTGAAGAAGAGGTTAGAGATTCCTGCTGGTAAAGGATACTCCAGGCTGCGGAGCAGCTGATCAAATGGCACAGAATATTGTAGGAACTTGAGTGCAGTTGGCGTCGGTGGGTGATGGAGGAGCAGGGGAGCCCTGAGGGATGAAGGCTGGAAAGATAGGTTGGCACCGGATTGCTGAGGACTTTGGGGGGCCCAGCAACCAACTAGGAAAGGATTTTTTTAAGCAAGGAAGATATCTGATGAGTTAGGTGTTTTTGTTGTTGTTGTTGTTTTAAGCAGGCTCCACACCCGATGTGGGTCTCGATCTCACAACCCTGAGGTTAAGGGTCACGTGCTCTGCTGCCTGAGACAGCCAGGTGCACCCCGATGACTTAGTTTTTAGAAGATAAACTAGCGTTGAATTCGGGAAGCCACTGCAGTGGTCCTGATTCTATCCCCATCCCCAATTGTGGCAGAATGGAGAGTAAAGAGAAACTGATCACTGGTTCACATGTTTTTAGAATACGATTCTTCATGTTAAAAAAAAAAATTGCATTTTGCACAATGTCCTTGTCACTCTGTGGTGGACAGCCTGTGGGGTTGGGTTTCTGGCCTGTTTTGCTGGGTGGCTACACCATGCAGTTTCCTAAGAGGGCGGTCTGGGGAAGAAATCCCTCTTCTCTGTTCCAGGGGCCCTGGCTTTGGGGTCCCAGAGTGTCTGTTTATCACTGGGGACCAGAGATGCAGGAAAGATTGGTCATCTCCACTGGCAAGCTTCTGCTACTGAAGGGTAAAACCTGTGAGACGGTAAAGCCAGGGGGAAGAGCTCAAGAAGTGGAAGGAATTCTGTGGAATGGCGTGTTCTCACCTGGGAAACTTTTGGAGAGGACTTCTTTCCTCGCTTCCAACTGTAGTGCACTTCGGCGAGCTCTGCTCTTGGCTTCTGTAACATGAAGCTTTGCTTCCTCTCTTGCCTGGGCCCTGCCTAAAGGGTTTTCTGTGAGAACCTGTGAATGGGAAGACTGTGGGCGGTACCCAGAGTCCTGTAGAGTCCTGTCCACGCCAAAGCAAGCTTGGAACAGGGGCAGATATGGCTGGGCGGGGGGAGGGGGAGGGGGGGTCCCTACCTTCTGGGAGGTGGAGGGTTAATCTCCATAGCTCATTGGCAGTTCTGCCTCCGTACGGGGCATGCTGGGATTTCCTCCCAGCTGTTTTACATCATGAAGATTTGTATGTTGGGGAAATTCCAGGGCACAGCTGCAATTAATCTGCTGCACAGTCTTCAAGCTAAGCAGGGATCCTGTAGGACCGATTCTCTGCCTCCCTGCAGGAAAGGAGGTTCTGGCTCTTTGGTGAGAGCGCCCTTCAGAGGGACCCTTCCCTGGGGCCAAGTCGAATGGAAATAGCCCACCTGGCCAAGTATTCACCGCAAGGAGGGCACTAAGGGCACTAAAGAGGGGCCCCAGAAGCAGAAAGGGACCCAGAGCATAAAGAAAAAGAGGTACAGCCCCCTTTATAAAGAGTAAAGCCAAAATAACACTGATAGCAGCCCTTGAGAAAAATACCACAAAAAAAACTTTTTGTTCACTCTCCCTTAGGAATGTTGAAGTCAAAATCTTAAGAGACTCATAGTTTGCATTCCACAATACAGTACAAGAACGAACAAGCCACCATGACCAAATAGGGTTTACCTGCGGCATGCAAGGATGCTTTCGTGTAAGAAAATCTATCACTATGTATACATCTCACAACTGAGTCAGTACAGTAAAGACAGGTTCTAAACCACAGCCTCAGTCTACCTAACTGTGAACCATAAGTTCCCCAAGTGTGTTCTATGGAACCCCAATCCCCAGAAAGAGTTTCCCAAATTCAGTCAGATCAGGAAACTGCATATCTGTCCTGTCTCAGAGAGTCACAACATACGGTAGCATATTAAGCAGCATGAGTAAATCGAGAGTGGTAGTACTCACCATTTGAGTCTAGTTTTCTCTTTCTGAGTATCAGAAGAGAATACTTACCTCCTAGTCAGCATCCCATGTGTGGTGGCCGTTGCTATCACTTGGCAGTCAGTTGCACTGGTGCCACACAGCTTCCATGGTCTACATTCCAAAGAGCATCCCGGGCAGGGAGGCAGCCCGCCGGCCCATCCTCACTGCGCTACAGCCTGTGCATGATAACACTGGTCAGGAGCCGGTTGTGGTCAGTTGGATGGAAAACCTAGACTAGGCTTGGAGAAACCTAGCATTTTTAATTTGCCCACGTGCCATTACCATACAAAGAATCTAAGCTCAGCCACATCTCTCTTACTCCCCAGATAACTGATTGTGGGCTGACTTCAGATGAGAATTGCAGCCAAAGAGAGTTTTGTTGCCCCTAAACATTGGGGTACGCCTGACCCAGGAATTCAGAACTGCCCGGCTACCTCCACAGATCTGGTGCTGAGGTGGGAGAGGCTTACAGAGGTGCTGCCGCAGGTCCCTGCTGCCCTGATCTGTGGTTCTGGGAAGCTCAGCTGTCCCTTTCGAATGCTCCTTTCTTCAGAATTGCGATCCAGGGGAGTTTGATGGCGAAGCTGCAGTGGGCCCCTGCGTCTTTTTATAGGTCTTTCCCCACCACCCCGCATCACGTGTTTCAAAATCTTAAAAAGGCAGAAAAGTAGAAAGGGGGAAGGGACTATCCTCTATTTCTTTATCGAATGAATCCTTCCTTGTACACATGCACACCCACACCACCCCCGCCCCCCACCCCCCAGATTTCCTGGAGCGGGAAAGGTCCTGGGCCAGATGTCCACCACTGCCAAAACCACTCTCCCCACCTGTCTGACAGATCTCTATGGGGCCGGGCTTCGGTCGTGGACAAGGCTAAAGATTTTTACACACTTCTAAGCTTCCAGGTCTCTGTTAAAGTCATTGAGTGAGAGGGAACCCTACAGAGATACGAGGACAGTGTGGTCTCTTCCTCCCCCTGGAAGTCCAGGCAGTGGGTAGGTAAGACACCAAGCATGTGATGGACAACCAAACACAGTAGCTATTACTAAAAGCACTTTCTCTGAGTGTGTGTGTGTGTGTGTGTGTGTGTGTGTGTGTGTGTCCATATGTATATCTGTACCTTGATAGCCCCGGCCTGAAGGCAGACCCTCATGGAGCTCATAGTAGAGCAGTGGTTCCCATTGGGGGACGGTTTTCCCACTCCCAGAGACATTTGGCAAAGTCTGGAGACCTTTTTGGTTGTCACAAATGGGCAGGAGAGTGGGCGCTACTGGCTTTTGGTGGGCAGAGGCCAGGGATGCCGCTAAATATCCTGCAGTGCACAGGACAGCCCCCACAATATCCCAAAATGTCACTAGTGCCATGGTTGAGAAGCCCTGAACTAGACTCCTAGAAGCCTGCTCTGCCTAACAACTCAAAAGGTCCACTAATAATGTTCTTTCCCAAACTAGGATTCAGATGGATTCCTATTTGATCTAAGAACATCCCTGGCCAGCAAGAATGAGGAGTGTTCAGCGTGTGTCTTTATGACGTCAATTAGGGAAACCAGATGCTGGTAGAGTTGGTGGGTCTCAGGAGCCCCTTCTACTATGTTTCATATTGGGGTGGATTTGGGGTACTTCTTTTCGCACGTGATAGTTGTGATTGTAGTTCAACTTCAAGAAAAACGGATAAATGCTCAGGTTGTTGCTTCTAGAGAAACAGTGTGATGAACGGTGTAAGCTTGGGTCACCTCAAGCGTCCCTACAGGAGAACATTGGTGTGTATATATTCATTCAGCTCTGAGGTTGCCAGCCCTGGGCGAGACAGAAAGGGAAGGAGAAAAACCCATGGGAGCAAAGAAAAGGCTGGGGGGGTGGGGTTCGAGAAGGTGATGTGATGACTGCTGTCACAGTGAACAGCATGGAGTTGAAGCCAAGAGACTTCAACTTCAGTTCCCATCATAAATTTGGGCTAGTCACTCACCCTGTTTACCTCCATTAGCTCATCTGAAAAATTTGGGACAGTCACCCCTACTTGCAATAGCAGGGTTGTTGTGAAGAGGAAACTGGTTTATGTGTGTGGAAATGCTTTGGAAACTGCCAGTATGGCACAGATGTTATTCACTGAGGAAATGAGGGCTTTTTTTTTTTAATGTTTATGTATTTATTTTTGAGAGCCTGCATGAGAGTGCGTGTGCACACGCGAGCAAACAGGGGAGGAGCAGAGAGAGAGAATCCCAAGCAGGCTCCGAGCTGTCGGTGCGGAGCCCGACTCGGGGCTCACACTCACAATCTGAGATCATGACCTGAGCCAAAATCAAGATTTGGGTGCCTAACCTACTGAGCCACCCAGGCACCCCAGGAAATGAGTTTTAACTCATGATTCCAGTATTTGTCCAGTGTTTTTAATTTGCCAAAGGCATTGAAATCCCAGTTAGTTTATCTACAAAGCGTAGGCTCTGGGTAAGGAAGAAGACAGGTGGGGGTGGGACGAATCAGCAGAATGCAGGGACAGGGATAATACTCGGTGTGGCCTCATGGATGGAGGGGCAGACAACAGAGGGCCCAGAGTGAAGACTGCCCTCATTTATAGCACCCCCACAACCCCCTTTTGTTCCCACCCCCCAAGCCTCCCACAGCCAGGCCTGATTGGTCCATCCCACCTGCTGTCTGTGCTACTCACTGGCCCTTTGTAGATGTGTCCTAGGGCCATTATCCTTGCCTGTGGACATTGTTTTGAAAGCCCAGACCCTGCCCACTCAGTCCATATTTGTGGACTCTTTGATGGAAAGCAAAGGGGCACGGCCCATCCTAGTTTTCTGATCCTGTGCACATAGCTCAAGGCCAACTCACGATTTCTTTTTCCCTGAAATTGAGTGACCAGAGCAAGGGATAACTCAGAAACTTATTTCTGTCTATGAAACTCTTCCTGGAGCCATCATTTCCTATTGGAGGTGTAATTTCCAAAGTAACCTCAAGAATTTTGCAAAGAGTCTGCATAGCTGGTCTGCTGCCCAGAAACACCATGTCAGTGTTGACACTAAGACAACATGTATGCTTTGCCCTTGGCAAAGACTAATGGTTTGCTTACGAAAATACTAGCTGCCATTTATCAAATGTCTCCCACGTGCGAAGCATTGTGTTCAATACTTGACATTGTCCCTAATCCTTCTAACAACCTATAAAGTTATTGAGAGTAGCCTTGCCTTACAGATGCAGAAGCCGAGACTCAGAGTTGTTAAGATGCTTGTCCAGAGTTGCACAGCCTACACTGGCAGAGTGAGACCCTGAACCCATGAGCGTTTGACTCCAGACCCCAGGCGGGCTCACCCAGTGCCCCTCTTAGCCTCTCCACTCATTCCTTTCCAGCCCTTGCCAAAGACTGCCATGCCAGGGTTGAGGAGAGGCTTTTTTAAATTATTTTATTTTTTATCTTAGGGAGAGAGAGCGCGTGAGCAGGGGATAGGGGCAGAAAGAGGGAGAGAGAGAGAAAGTCTCTAGCAGGCTTCATGCTCAGCTCAGAGCCCAGTGCAAGGTCTCAATCCCTTGACCCTGAGATCATGACCTGAGCCGAAATCAAGTTCGTTGCTCAAATGACAGAGCTACCCAGGTGCCCCAAGAAGAAGCTTTTTGTTTAAAGAAAGTATGTGCATGTGTATGTTGAGGGTTTGCTGTTTGGTTTGGATTTTCTGCAATAATACAGGGTAAGGTACTGGATAATCTTTTCAAGGCTGAGAAACACTGTAGCTAGAAGTTAAATCAGCATCGTTGAGTACGGACAGATATTACCCATGACCCTGCGAGTGTCGGGCAGATGGTTTTTATTCATTCCTTCACCAAATACTTCTGGAGGCTATTTCTTAGGGAGTATTGTGTGTGATGGGAATGAATGGGGCAGGATCACCATGTGGGAGCCCTTGGTCCCTAGATGTGCCCTGCTTGTCCCATGACTAGAGCAGGGAGAGCTTGACCCTCAGCGATATAGGTTCTTTGGACACTTTGGCTGGTTGTCCTGTTGTGTGTCCCCCACAACATGACAGAGGGGGCAGGTGATGGTAGTGGTGATTCTGAGTGTGTGCTCTCCCCTGAGATAATCATCTGGACACTGAGCAAGGAAGGAGCACGTGCGGTCACGGAGAACCAGCAGCAGCCTACCTGCACAGCTCCTCCTCTGCTCACTTGGGGGTGCTCGCGAGGCCTCATCTCACCAGATGCCTTGTGTTTTCTATCCCCTGTGCAGTACCTACAGATGAAATGGCCCCTCCTCGATGTCCCATCCAGTGCCACAGTCAAGGACACCAGGTCACCATCCCCGGCACACTTGGTAAGTCTGTTTCCCCTTCAAGTGCCAAAGGGATCTTCTCGCTCCCCTCACCCCATGTTGTTGCATCCCATAGACCATCCCGAAGCTGATGGGGTCTGGCGGTGTTGCCCCAAGTGTGTGTCTCAGGAGAAGAGCTGAGCAGTTGGGGTGTGGCCGTGTTACCTGTACGCTTTTCCACCCCTTCCACCTCAACACACACGCACATACCAGCTGTGATGTCGTATGATTAGAAATGCCGGCACCAACCCTGGCTGGTTCCCTGGTCCTTGCCGCTTCCCTAAGAACCCCTCTGCCCCCTCCACCTGGGCAGCGGTGTTCCTTCTCTCTTTTGGAGCTCGTTCTACATTGCTGCCACTTCTCATTGTTGCTGGCAGCAACAGTTGAAGAGGCTCTGTGCAAACGAAAACCCCAGTGGGGCAGCTGAGACCTTTGTGCCAAGCCCTGTGACAACTCAGGTCCCAAAGGAAGATCTGGATGGTCCTGGGAGGTGGGAGCAATGAGGTCCAAGCAGGTCTCGCCTCCTCAGGGCTTGCGGTGGACTGAAATAGACAAGAGATGGTCCTGGGACATTGCATTCCAGGACTTTTCTTAGGAGCTTGGGGCCTCCCTAGCCTTAAGACCCACACACCCCTCAAGCTAACTGGTGTTATGCATTGTACAGTGAGCCTCTGAGTCCTAGAGGGTACAGCTAGAAGGAACCCCACTGGCATGACCTATGCATTTTATAGACAAGGAGACCTGGGAAACATAGTGTTTTTAGAAACATTATTATGGAAAATTTCACCTGTTCCCTTTCACCCACACACCTCCTCCTACTACACTGGGTTGCTTTAAAATAAATCCCAGACATATTATTTCATCTCATTCAGGACATCTTAAGATACCCTGACAGTCCTTTTTCATTTAAAAGCTGAGAGTCTAGATATACAGAGAAGATAATTCGGGCTCAGCGAGCCTGTATGATTTCCAGTACATGTGAGAGCAGTTTACAGTGACAGAGCCCTTGGAAGTTTATAAAGCAGTGTCCTGTGTAGTTGTCAGATGACTGTCGCTGCCATCCACTGGGGAGACAAGTGGGGAGAGCTGGTTTCCGCCATCTCTAGGAGAGACCAGTGACTGTGTAGGGAACGGTGAGCAGCCAGCCATCTGGTTCAGGCCGCCCTAGGAACAGGCCGGGGTCGCGTCTCTGGTCCCCCAGAGTCCTGTGTGGGATGGCGTAGCGCGAGGTCCCGATGCCCTCTAGTGGTCGGTCCCAGTGGAGGACACGACTTCCCACATCTACCCTGCCACAGACCTGGCTTGTTGTCCCCTCCAGGCACAGCTGTCTCTCTTCAACTGTTTCAAATCTTTGCTCACCCCCCCACCTATCCTGTGGCATCCCCCAGACCACTGCAGTGGACCCCGAGATGGCAGGGCCCTCTCTCCTCTCTTCCCTCCACATATTCTCTCTGCATATTGTCTAAAATCTCCCCTACTTTTTTAGTAAGTTTTTATTTGTTTGTTTGTTTGTTTGTTTTGAGAGAGAGAGAGAGAGCAGGGGAGGGGCAGAGAGAGAGGGAGAGAGAAGATCCCAAGCAAGCTCCATGTTGTCAGCACAGAGCCCAACGTGAGGTTCGAACACCCGAACCGTGAGGTCATGACTTGAGCTGAAATCAAGAGTTGGATGCCCAACAGACTGAGCCACCCAGGCGCCCCTCTATCTACTTTAGAGGAAGTGAGTTCCCTTTAAAACTAGCATGGGGACTCATTGAGCTTCCCATCCTTCCTGCTGCGCAGAGCAATCTGTCTCTGGAAAATAAAATGAAATGTGTCCAGACCTCCTCCTGCTGCGAGCTTTATCTGATTTCCCATGTGGTGTCCACCACTGGCTTCTCCCACAAGAGCAGGACTTCCACCTCTGCCTCTGCATCGTTCGTTCTGCCAACCCACCGCGGCCGGGCTCGGCCCGGCTCAGCGACTGCGTCGCATGCCTCAGTCCAAGCGTTTCCCCTGCTTTTCCTCAACGCAGGTGGCATCGGACAGTGTTTGCAACGCTCTGCTTCCTGGACTCGGGCTTTCGTGACTCCAGAGGCCTGTATGCACACACGCTAACAGTTCCAGGCCCTCTCTACACCTGCATTCTCTTTCTGGACTATTTTCCTCAAATAAGTCAAGGTCCCCATTCTCACTTATTACCTCCATGTGAGTGACCTAAAGATACATGAAATCGCTAACCTCTCAGCAAGGTTCTGTGCCCATGGCTCCACCAGCCAGGCAGACGCCCATCCCCTGCAGATAGTGCTCTGCAAAAACTAATCCAGCTTGGCGGTCGAACAGGGGCCCCTAATTTGTCAGCGTGGAGAAGCATGAACAGTGGCTACGTTACACCGTAGGTGACAAAACGGCTAATTTTCTAGTAGGTTGTGTACTATCGCACTGTATATTCTGCTATAGTAAAGCAGGGGCACCTGGGTGGCTCTGTGGGTTGAGTGTCCGACTCTTGAATTCAGCTCAGGTCACGATCTCCGGGTCATGGGCTTGAGCCCTGCATTGGGCTCTGCCCTCAGCATGGAGCCTGCTTAAGATTCTCTCTCTCTCTCTCTCTCTCTCTCTCTCTCTCTCTCTCTCCCTCTCTCCCTCTCTCTTTCTCTCTCTTTGTCCCTCCAGCA